GCCCCCTCTCATTCCCTTCTTTCCTTCCCCCCCCTCCTCTTCTTTGGTGTTTTGGGACAGTTTTGAGACAGGGTCTCACTGTGTAGCTCAGACTGACTGCCAGCTCAAAGTGATGGGATTATAAGTGTACACCAAAAAAAAAAAAAGTGTGCACCACCACACCTGGCTTTGTTTCATTTCTTAAATCCCCTAGGAGGGAAATGAGCAGATTTAAATGCTGAGGACGGAAAGAGCCAAAAGGCAGGGAAACATGCAGGTAGCAAGAGCAGAGGAGGAGAGGGAGGGCCCAGGGCAGCTCTGTGCTTTCTGTCTCTCTTTGTCTCTGTCCAAATTGTATCCTCCAAGGCTCAACTGCATTCTACTTGCTGTGTGTCCCTTCCCTGGTGGCTCTAGTCATCCCCTTTTTCCTTTTGTCCTTGTTATGTTAATTGTCCTGTAGAAATGTGTGCTTCATTATCCTGTATGACTTATGTATAAATGATAAGCCTACCATGATTAATAATCCTTTCTCCTTTTCCTGGAAAAGACATCTAATACTTAAATCTCTACCATGTCATGCATATAAACACCAAGCTTCCCATGCTTCAACTGAGCTCTAGGTTCCAGGAACTGGGCATTGAACTCAGGCCCTTGCGCTTGCCAGGCAAGCACTTATTTTACTATCTTCCCGGCCCCTAGGTTCCAGATCTTGTTCCCTTCCCAAAGACCCTACTTCTTGTGTTTATTTGTTTTTCCATTTTGCTGGGTTATTCCCTTCAGAAGTGAAGCATTCTTATTATCCCCTTGTTTCTTTGTTTATTTAGTACAGGGTCTCATTATGCATCTCGGACTCTTAGTGATCTTGCTGTCTCAGCCTCCCCAGCGCTGGGATTACAGGCATGTGCTACCATACTCAGTTTTGGTATTCTTTCATCTTTTAAAAAATAAACAACCTTGCTTTATTACAATGAAGGACACATTGCTATTAATTTTTTTCCTCTGGCCACTGTCCCCTTCCCTCCTCTCCACTCCCCTCTCCTCTCTTCTTCTTGGCCCTCTTCCCCCTCTCCCTCCCTGTGTAGCCCAGGCTTGCCTTGAACTTTGTGTGTGTGTGTGTGTGTGTGTGTGTGTGTGGCCAGCTCAGCCCACCAGGGGGCGGGGCTGGCTGGCATATGGTGCTGGGGGATTGAACCCCAGTCCCTGGGCTTTGTTTAGCTTAGCTTGTTCTAAATAGGTGCTTCAGACCACTGAGCCATCTCACCAGCCCCCTTGCCTTGAACTTGTGATCCTCCTGCCTCAGGCTCCCCAAGTACAGGGGTGTGCCACCACACCAGGCCAGTGAATGTTTATGTTATAGTAAACCGCACAGCACCATTAATCTCCCTCAAAATATTCTCCCTCATTTTAACACATGTATCCCATTGTCCTTGTCATTTTATTTATTTATTTTTTTTGGCGGAACCAGGGGTTGAACTCAGGGCCTTGCGCTTGGCAGGCAAGCGCTTATTCCACTGAGCCATCTCCCTGGCCTGTCCTTGTCATTTTGGGAGGCAATTCTGGAAGTCCTTCATTGACACAGTCTTTACACAGTTGATGTCTCAAAACAATTCAGAACATTTACCTTTCGTGTCCATCTGACTTTGGGCTAAAGCTGAAAGTCACATGGTACGAGATTTGGTGAATGAAGGGTTGAGAACACATGGTGTTTTTACAAGCCTGCCTTTCCCTCAGATGGTACTCAGTAGTCTCTGCACTTTTTTTTTTTTAATTTATTTGCATTTATGTTATGCTTAATTCATTCCCGTGCCATAAGTTTTTGTTTCTTCAGTTTCTTCTGGGATATCTTTTTCTTCTGTGCCACTTTCTTTTCTGGTTTGGGAACAATTTTTTCCTTTTCAGTAAGGATCATCTCAATATGGCAGGGGAGCTCATGGATGGATTAATCCAGCCATGAGCTCTATAAGTACGGCGGCGCATCTTGGGTGCTTTGTTCACCTGGATATGTTCAATAACCAGAGAATCTACATCTAAACCCTTAAGTTCAGTATTACTCTCTGCATTTTTAAGCATGTGCAGCAAAACTTCAGCACTCTTTTTGGGCCACCGACCCTGTGTCCAGCCCCACTGTTCAGCCTGGGCACACCTACCAACTCCACCATTGTAACGCCGGAATGGTACACATTACTTCTTCAGTGTGACATCCTTGAGATACTTGGTGGCCTTTCAGATATGCATACCCTTGATGGCCTGGGCAGTTTCATGTGTGTTCTTAAAGTGAACGTGAAGATTTGAGCCTCTTGATTTGCATGATTTTGTGGGGTTTTCTGGGTCAAGAGAGTAGTGAACCATTTTCACAGGTCACCTAAGGCCGCTTACAGGAAGAGTAGTTACTGAACTTTTGATCACACCATGTAAAAACCCTCATGAAAGAAGTCTTCCAGAACTGCTTCAGAAAAGAGTAAGAATGATGGAATAATTGTGTTTGAAGGGGGAGTATTCTGAGGGGGTTAATGGCAATATGTCTTTTATTTTAACAGATTATAAAAACTTAAACATTTTCTTTGTATTTCTACCACACCATGTACCTAAGCATGTAAGATTGACTGTTTGTCCTCCTACATTTATTTTCTCCCTTGCTCCTCCCCCACCTTTTCCCTTTTTAGTTCTAGTCTTTCATACTAATTGGCACCAGTTTATTAGCCCAGAAACTTTCTGTCATTCTTGTTCCTACTTTTTCCCGCATTAACATCACATTAGTTGGCAAGAAAGCTTTGACATTGTTATTTCCAGAATAGTTGTTCCTCTCTCTGACTCTGCTACCACTACCTAGTGTAAGCCACCATGCTGTACCCCTTGGGTTATCCTGGGGCTTCTACTTTTCTGCTTTTCTTCTCACTCTACCATCCGCTCTACCTCAGCATTGGACTGATCTCATGTACCAAATCATTATATTCTTCTGCTTTAGGGATTTCTCTTTGCACTGAAAAACAAACAAAAAACCCCAAAAACCAAAAAACTTACTTCGTCAAAATTACCTCCAAGGACTGTGTAGAACTGGTTTCTCTCTTCCACTTTGTCTTGTTTTCCCCTCTCCATGTGGTCTCCTTTCTGTTGCTGGAATCATATCAGAGGCTTGCACATGCTCATTCCTGTCTAAACACTTGTGTAGCTGGTTCCTTCCCGACTCAATCAAGTTTTTATTCAAATGTCACCTCACTGGAGGTTTTTCCTAACCATTGTTTAGAGAGCCCTTCCTAGTTCTTTTTGCAGGGCCCAGGAAGTTTATATTTGCAATCCCTTGGAAAAGTTACTGGAAATTGTTTATTTGTTTATTATTATTTTTGTATTTTAGGGAAGGATCTAGAGGGTGTTCAGGGTCTCACTACTAGATCGGACTTGTAGTGATCTGCCTGTTTACAGCCTCCTAGGAGCTGGGATTACAGGTGCACGCCACCACGCCCAGTCTCAATTGCCTGGAAGGCCTGGGGATAGAAGCCCCCAGCCCCTGCATCTGCTTGCAGGTGCTTTAGTCTGCTGAACCATGTCTAGCCCTAAATTACTGGAATTGAGTTAATTCCAGTCTACCACTTCCAGAGCAACCCATGGTGAGAATGAAGACACTAAGGCATATGTGTAGTTGTGGAGAGTCAAGGAAGTCCTAAGTCCAGCTAGGGTGATAGCTAACTGCAACCAAGGCCTCAACACAGGGTTAAACTGGGTTTTATTAATTTGTGAGGAAGAGAGTGGCTTGAGGTTGAGTGACTGAGAATGGTGGGAAGTTCTATGAGCTTGGCTAGGTAGGAGACCTGGAATCACTTCTGCAATATATAGAGAGAAGGATATACAGAAGGACTAATGTTATAATACAGTTCAAGGGAGTTTCTGATGTTTGGGGGTTGGTGCTTCACCTCTGATGTGTAATCTTTTATGCCCTGGGAAGTCACAACCTCTTACCTCATGGCTTGATCCCAGCCAGCAGTGTGGAGTATGGCTCTCTGTCCTGCTGGGCTCACACATTTTTGGGGAGTTATGTGGTGGGGCAACACTGTCCTGTCACCTTGCTTCAAAGACTACACATCAGCTGGCCAATTTGCATTGTGTAAAGCCAACTGAAGGAAGAAGGAAAAGTCCTAGCCAGCTTTGTACACATTAATATATGGAAATAGGGCCAGGTTCAGCCAAAAGAGATAACTGTTCTTCTCTCAAGGAGAGTCGTCCAGATGGACACCTCTACACCACTGTTTTATTTTATATATATTCCCCCCCCCTCCGGAACCGGGGATTGAACTCAGACCCTTGCGCTTGCCATGGAAGTGCTTATTCCACTGAGC